AATACTGCGAGAACGTGATTTTGAGAAACCACTCTAAAAATTTGGTTCGCCAAATTATGAATTACGCAAGATTCAGCTATCGTACTGGATGCACTGCGTAAGATCTGTAAGGATAACATTTCAGATACTTGAAAAGCAAATCCAATTAAGCTAATAAATGTTTCTTGTTTTAAGTTATGTTAAATAATTTATATTATTTATTGTTATATACATATATAAATCACATTGAGTTGGCAACGTAGTCTACAAGATTAATAGCCAGAGTAATGGATTATAGTACTACTGCACTATATAGTACGTTTCACGGGATATTGACTATCTTGCTTAAAGATGAAAAACATGAACGCATATACAAGTTGATGGTGCGGTTCCTATATTTTTATATAATTGATAGATTATAAAGTTCTTATTTTTAAATCAAAAATTTGTTTGTCCAATCGTGTTACTACTCTTTTTCAATTCTAATTTATGATACAAAAAGGAATAATAAGCTACTCCTAAAATTTTCTCAATTATAAAGTTATAAGTACATATAACCCAATGTGTCAACACCCGCCCCACCGGGTTCCTTTTTCATATTAAAAAATCCGTACTAACTTTTTATCATCAGCGTACTAGGATTTATTTTCGTTTATTTCCGAAAATAAAATAAAAAAGATTTTGATAAAAAATTAGAGGTAGTCCTTGACAAATACAAAACTCTTAGGTGTGCAGATGTGCAGAGATGTATAATTTGTTTTTAACTCTATACTGTATACTTTATACTGTTGGGGATTTTTATATGTATGCTATGTATAAATTGTTAGCTGTTGACATATAGGTTAATTATTCACTTTTTAAATTTTTATAATTCATTTCAAAGTTTTCAATATGACCTGTTAATTTATTATGTGATAATTTCACATCATACAATTGCTTATCATTTAATTAATAAAAGTAGTGAAGTGTCAAAACGCTTCCATTTAATATAATTATCATTTAATTTGAAACTTAATAAAAATTGAATACTACTATTAATTCAGTGTCAATGAACATAATAGTCAATGTTTAAATAGACAATCGTATGAGTGCATTAAACAATTTCACTTAAACACTTTCCAACACTGCATAATTAATCAGAAGCACATGCTAAAGACTTAAATAATTTGTGGAAAAATTGAGAAATTCTTTGCCCAGACTGCCAGTGACTACAACAACACTTGAGAGCAATTAGCAGAAAACAAGAGGTATTACAGAGAATTGATTAATGATTATGAATTGATGGATAAATGACTATTATAAGAAACATACTTTTTACTATGGTTTTGGGGTTAGTTGATTTTTTGCTTTATTAGGCATTAATCAATTAATTATTTAACCTCAGTAGCATAGGTAAGTGATGTGGTGTCAGTTGCCGATCAGCTAATGTGAGTTGGCAACCTTTTCCAAAGTTACGAACACAAGAATATAACAGCGAATACTTTAAGCAATTGTAAACGTATTGTTAAAATGATATAATGAAGATGGTTTGAGCGAGTAGTATTGACTCATATCCAACATATAATTAAACTGTAGTTAATCGCTGCAGTAGTTAAAGACTCTGACTATAGTCCAACTGAATAGAATACTGTATGAATTCTCATTTTCACTTCAGATTTATTATATTCATTGTGTGTTTTAGCCAGATTCATATGGTAACTCTCCCAGTAGAACTTCTTACAGATCAAAGGCCACTACCAAAAGTACAATGAGTGCGCAATAAGTGATAAAATTTTCTTCTGATGTGTATATAGTATGATATAGTATTGTAATTTTTGCGATAATGATATCAGATCATACATAAGTGGGAAATGTTTTTATTTTCAATGGGGCTTAATAATAAAAAAAACAGTGATTTGCTCATAAAAATTAACTTTTTATTTTCGGACAAACTTTTATCAAAACATTTTTTAATTTAATTCCAGATACTACGAAAACATTCTCTGAAATGATTCAATGACTAGTTTTGCCAGGAAAAAGCATTGGCAATGAAATGTATTGTTGATGAGCATAAAAAAGAGGAACTCATTAGGTGCCAGATCAAAACTTTATTAGTAAATTCGAACTATGCTCGAAAAATCAATATATGAAAGCTCATATTGCCGTGATAGCGGTTGAATTTCTCATCTCACAAGTATATTTGGAAAATAAAACTAAGATCTATCATTTAAAAATGAACGTTATACGTTGCTCTAATGACTGAAAAGACATATCTATTTTTTCCGAAAACCCAGCAAACAATTCATTTTGAAATATTTGGACTGCTAACAACTTTTGTTGGGGATGGTTTATTATGATACACTCATGCTTCCATGTCAACAGCTTTCTAGTTTAAGGCTGATATTTATAGATTTGTAACTCTTAACCTGTCACAATATTATACAAGAGTTTCAATGCAGTGCCATTAAATCTTGAGCAGTCTTCTTTCTATTTTGGTTTCAGGTTTTGCCAGGTTTTGAGGCATCCAACGAGAACGAATCCTTTTTATGGTTAATTTATCATGAGATAAGCGTTTCAAGTATCTCATGTGATAACTTTTCGTTGCGTGCTATTGCTCATTATTAATATTTGAAGGCACACTACCCGATTTCGGATGACAATTACAACCTAAGTTTTTAAGTGAAAGACACCTGCAATTAAACTGCAGTGTTTGATAATATGAAAGGTTTATGGAGTACCAGGTGTTGTAGTACCTATACTTAGTACATGTTTCACGCTTCACTGATGTAAAAAATCTAAATAAATTGTCACACGAAAAAGTTCACAAGTTTATTCCACTTTTTTCTTGAGATACCATTCTAAAGTCTTTTTAGTTAACTCATATTATACTTAAATGACAGAGTGTTTAAAATAGGACTACGAAAAAAAATTGTCAGACTGTGTAATCAATATGTCAGTAATATGTCAATATGCCTTAAAAAAATTTCTTTTATACCAAATTTCTTTCTAACTTCAACTTTTATTTAAAACACGCTTACCTTTTTCAGCTTTGGTTGCAGTTCAAAATTGGCTTTGCCACCTTGTACAGTTATAAGTAATTTAGGCAGTTCCAGATTCCATTCTTTTGTAAAGAGTTGCACCAAGAGTTCTGGACGGGTATCAAAAGACAAGCGCACATACTAAAAATTTTAAAATATTTAAAAAAAATCAATTTAAAATCAATATAAAAAAGTACTTTTATTTAATATGTAGTTTTTTATATATTTTCAAGCAAAATGTAGTATATAATGATATATTCAAGTTTTACAAAGATACGAGGACAGTGCACACATTACTATCGTTTTTTACACATGGAGTTTCATGTTGTTGTTGTCGTAACCCGTTGGGATCTGCTTTAGGGGTGGTAAACGGCACTTGTTCGTCGTAGTTGACGAGTGGCACTGAGACGTAGACCCAGTCGTTCTTAAAACCCTAGTGTTTTCTCAATGGCATAAATACAGCATATAATTCGTTGGGTAAAAACACAAAAAAATCTAATAGAAGGATGTTTGAAGAAACAGTCTATCCGGTATAAACTAACTCTCTGTTAAAAATGCATATTAGCTTTTAAACAGTTTATAGAAGTCATATTAAGCTTTATACCTATTCAATTCTCTGATTGTAGACACCAGTCGTAGATTGTCTTATAAGAAGACGAGATTCACTAAAGCCTTTTATGTGAATCTACTGTGATACAACAATTTTAACTAAAATTGGTTCGAAAATTTTGAGTTCGTCATTTGTTGGAAAATGAATTTACTTTGTATCAAGTTTTTGTAAAATTATTTTATATTATTTCTTGTATATTAATATTATCCAACGAATATTATATTAAAAGGGTTTTTCGTCTACCAAGAGCCGTTTTTTTTTAATCAGGACCTGAAACGCGCCAATTCCTACTTTTTTCGATTTGAAGAATAAATGACTTAATTTGTATTGAAAATCGAACCATCTCTCTTCCCGTACAAGGAATCATCTCTTGCAATTAAGCCATTAGTGTGTAAGGAAACACCCTGTATACATGTATATGTATAAAAGATATAAAACTTTTGAAAATTAATAATAAAATTGATTGGAAAAGTTTTCTTTTGTTCACGTCAGTTCAGTTCAGTTGAGCATAAAATTTTATTATATTTTTTACAACAATAAAAAAGCGTAGATATGCACCTTTTCTTTAATATAGCATAACACATAAGTATCCCTCCTTGTGTTCGTACAAAGGATTTGATTTAAGCATTTTCATTTTCAAATAAACTAATACTATTTAAAAAGTGAAATATCTAATTTTTGTTATCATTTCCGTTTCCCGTCGTTTTTCTTTAATTTTTTCCTGAAATAAAAAAAAATTGCATATATAGTTGAAGTTTACCTGCGCTTTTGTAGGATGAGCACCTCCTTGAAACTCAATAGTACCATAAGCGTCGGTGGGTTGTGCACGTGTATGTTTCTGTGGCAGCCAGGCATCTCCTGGAGAGCCACTTTCGATGCCAGGTATCGTTTGGTGAGTTTGTCGTGATTGACCACAGCAGCATCTGTCAAAGACAACAAGAAATTGAAATACAATAGAAATTTTTATTCCTTAGAAAATACATAAGTATATCAAGATGTGTGTGGACTTATAATGATTGAATATAACATCAAAAAATAGTGGTGTATTTGTGTAAAATTGAACAATAAGAATTAATAAAATTTTAGGTTAAATCAGTCTTGGTAGTTATTTTATATGGACATCCAAAATGGCTTCTGTTACGTTTTATTCCATTAAATCAAAAAGTTTAAGATTGAAAGCGATATAGCTAGCAATTAACATATGCGTTTAGGTTATAAATGATTAAAATATGAAATAAATGTTATATTATGGCAAAGGAATTATAAATTCTTATAGAAAAAATATATATTATAG